CCTGGTAACCTCCAAGTTAAATTTATAGAAAATGGCTACTCCCCCCCCCCGCCGTCCCTCCAGTCTACCCTGTGCTGGTCATCATAACCGGGCAGGCAGATGAGAGCCAGGGGAGGGCCACCCTCCCCATTAAGCCATGTCTCGGTTATGCATGCCAGGTCTGCATCCTCCTCCAGGATAAGATCTTGAATCACCTGGGGCTTATTGGATACAGAATAGAAGTTAGATCAGCATAGAAGTTAGATCATATTGCCATCTGGACCAGTAAAATTTAATTAATTGAAATTTGCTTATCTCCCCCTCCTTTTTCAGGTTCCAAGGCTCCCTATGGCTCCCTTTTGTCTTGGGGAGCCTCAGGGATTGTGGAGGGGAATCTTTAATAGCCAGAAATCGCCTCAGATTACTGCCAGCAATCCTGGCTGTGGTGATCAGGAGACAAATTTTTATTGTTAAAGTCTCCTCCCTTCCCAGGGCAAAAGGGAGGCCTAGAGAGCCTTGGAATGGGGGGATCAGAAGCTTTCTGTTAAACTTAATTTAATTTTGCTGGCCCAAATGATGACATCATCCAGCCTCTGCACAAATTTAGGTAAAAGGGTTTTGGCTAGTGGATCGTAATACTCTTTTGTCTGGTTTATCCCTGTAGAGTGAATCCAGGCAAAAACATGTGTACCTTTAGTGTTTATGTAAAGTTATGTATTTTCAGTAGATTTTGCCTAATCCTAACATGCCAAGATATCCTTAACATAATTCCTTCTTTTAAAGCTTCCAAAGGAACAGGACCCTTGTTCTGGTCAACATACATTTTCAGTCGGTTTAGGTGGTGGTCTGATTTATTTTCAAACCTGTTATTTCTTTCTCTTATTTTCTATTTTCTAAAGCACATGAGCTGCTTAATTAAATTTATTATCATAAGGCTTTTGTTGCTTGAATAAGTTGCAGAATGAACGGTGCCAGACAGCCATTGGAGCATGCCCATAGAGATGGTTGTTGTGGGTTTTTCGGGGTCTTTGGCCATGTTCTGAAGATGGTTCTTCCTGATGTTTTGCCAGTTTCTGTGGCCAGCATCTTCAGAGGATTGGAGTAGGAACTCTGAATATATTCGCAAATACATTGAATGCCCATAGAGACTTTTAAATTTTGAGCCACAGCAGAGTAGCCTGGGTGTGGATGCTGATGTCTCATCATGCAATAAACAAAAAGTATTCCAACACTGTCCTAGAGACCAGTCTGTGTGGTCTAGGAAGGGAGACTGTTGAGCAGCGTTTTGGGTGGTACAATGAGAGAATAGTAGATGTAATGTTTTTTACTTGAACCTTGGAAATCCAAGACCTAGTCCTCACTGAGCAAAGAAATTGTCTGAAAAATTATGAACCACTAAGTCCCTCACAAGAATGCTATAAGGATGATAGAAAGAGGAGCATCATATGCACTTTTTGGACTCATTAAAGGAGAAACAGGATATAAATGTAAATTGCAAGTAAATAATTTCTAACATGTAAACCTGGTGTTCTAATGGCCAATCTTGATTGAAATCCTCGGTACTTTCCTTAACTCCTCTTGTCCTTTCAAGCACAAAAATAAAATAGTCCCCACACTACTTTATTATTAATTTTTTACATTGTCTTTTGTTTGTTTCAGTGGAGAAACAAGATACAACAAAGAGAAGATACTACAAGGTTTGTGAATTTATAGTAACTCTTATTGAGTGTTAATACTCGTACGCCATGGCTGCTGTTCTATATATTTCCACTGTTATTATTTAGATACTGAAGGATTATTGGGCTTATTTTGAAAAATTATTAAGTTGAGTCTGTTGTCTCAAGACCTAGACTTCAAATCTGGGATACACATGCATAGCAGTGAACTGCTGGTGCATGCTTATTTTTCTGGCCTGAAAAATCTGATCAAGGAGCTAAGTCTGATCAAAGAAAGTCACAATGACTGGAAAGTGAACAGCAGCATTCCTGCAAACTGGCTTCCATGTAGTATTTGCACCGTGAAGAAGCTCACACACTAGCAGCTATTTGTAGGCAATTTCTTAATTGACTAATATACAGTTGTGGAGGCAAGCTTCTGTGGACATAGAGATGTATTTTCAAAGTGTTCAAAAATAAAAGGGAATTTGGAAGGGAGTGAATACAGTATATTGCTTTATTTTAACAGTATTAAGGTTATCATACTTTAAGAATATTTATAAAGTATTCTGTATCTAAATTGTGATTTTGTGTTTATTACAATCAAAAACTTAAGGTTCAATTAAAAATATTTGAGTTTTATTGATATGTTTTAGTTACAAGCATATCAAGGATTAGAAATGGGAAGCAAGCTCCTAAATCTCAAGGAGCTTCTTTTTTAGATTGGTAGCATAAGGAAATAGCGTTTAAAACATAAATCATCAGCATCATAGTAAGGGGATTCATTGTTTGGGCTTAGAAACTGTCTCTGTAGTCAGCATTATCAAGAAGCAGAAGAAGCAATATAAGAAAAATGCCTGTGAATCAGCACTGGGGAGATAGTACTATCCATAAGTATTCCTCTTCCAGATAGTTTCCAGTGCTTTTAAAAAATATTTTTCCATCTAACACGCGAGTCCCATATGTTCACAATATTGTAGTAATAATTGTACTTTTCTGATAATGTTTTCATCTAATACTGTACCATCATCATTACTAACAATTGTTAAAAATCATCTAGAGGGAATAAAATGTAGGTAACACAAATCTTACCCAACTCAATTTTGATAATTTAAAAGGAAAAATATTTTCAAGAGTTCTTGCTCTTTTCCCTTCATTTTACAAATTTTCTACAAGAGAAAATGTAAATTAGCCATGGAAAAACAAGAAGCTTCAGAGGTAGCAGAGGAGAGAAATTGGCTCTCTCTCTCTCTTAACACAAGTTTTTATAGACCTTCTTGCGACTAGGGTCCTTTCTCACAATTATTTTTGAAAGCTATGCATGTATACGGGAACTTCTATTCTGCTCATTTGCACCACATATTTCTGCCTCCATTCCCCCAAAAAAACACTACATTATATCACTTTGATTGCCAAATAATGACATGTGGTCTGAAATACTTCTTTAATTGCAGTCTTCGTGTTGTACAAATTGCTTATGAGATACATGAACAGCACAGCTTCAAGATGACAGTAGGTTACTAAAGAAAGGAGATTTTCAGCAAAAGTCCATATAGAAATACAAAATGCCTGACTGTTCCTACTGAGGGTAGTAGATACACAAAGGCACTTACTTGGTAGATGGGCAAGAATTGTATAATGCGAGGCAGCAAATGTGTTCCTCTATCAAAAACCTACAAATCTACAAAGTAAGTATAGCTGTCTGGCTGGTCTTAATTGTTCAGTTTTTGTTTTTTGTTTTGCTCCATCTATGCGTAGCAAGGGTGGATAGCTGTGGTCCTCCAGATGTTGGATTGCCACTCCCAGCAGTAGCCAATGGTGAGTGATAGAGGACTTTCAGTAACAACATCTGGAGGGCCATGCTGTCCACCCTTGTGAAAACAACGACAAGTCTCTCTAAGATATTTGCCATCAGAATTTGGACATTGGAGATGATCATGTGGAGGAAGGACAAGTACATGGACAATGGATTTGAATCTAGCTTTTCATTTCTTGGTTTCAACTAAAGATTAGGGCCCCTCCCATACAAAAGCACCGATATATACCTATAGTGATACAGTAATCTCAGTTCAGGGACCTCCCTTGTGTCTATGAGTATTAATAGCCATTGATGAATAAATCAGACTTGCCATAAGATGTTGAACTAACAATTTTGGTTGTTGCAGGACAGGGTATTGATATGCCCCTCTCCGAGACAGGCTTCAGACAAGCCAATGCTGCTGGTGTATATCTCAGTAATGTAAAATTTACTCATGTGTTCTCAAGTGATCTGCTTCGTGCAAAGCAGGTAAGTATATTGTACAGTGTATGTTAAATTCCACAATATCAGATGTTCTGGGATTTTTTTAAAAAAAGGCTGCTGTTGATGACATCATCAGCCTTATGTGGACTAATTTATGTCAACAGGATTTTAGTCACTGTTGAACTAATATGTATGCCAGAGGCAGCCATTAAATTTTTTTATGGATATAAGTTACTACTAGGAAAGCATCCTGCTGAGATTATCATTGCTTATGAAAATTTATCTGTTATCTGTGACATCCTAAAGAGAAAGAAAGGACCAGCTCCAGAAAGCTGCTGTGAAATCAGTCAGGAGGCAGCCAAAAGTAAAGCTGCAAGTGGGAATAGGATGGTGGTTGGTTTTGGTGCCTGCCATATATCTATGCTAATAGGGGTGGGACATATGCTTTCCTAGGCTTTGTATCTGATGAGAAGCTATGCAGATTCTGAGAATATGCATATTTTATTGTGGCTGCTTTAAAAGGAAGGAGGATGGGGCTAAGGAGGATGTTGCCTTTGATGCTCTTGCCTACTACTGTGTCAAGAGAGGTGTACAGATATTTTCAGACCACTTCCTCTTATAAATTCATCACATTTTCTAGTCACAAAAATTAAAACATAAGCAGTTTGATGCATCTCTAGAGTAAATAAATATAAAACCCTTTATCTAATGAACATCAAATGAATTCTGATGAAGAATTGATTTGCAACATATCGGTATAATCATAATTTCTCATATGAATATGTAGAAAATAATATCCTACCTCTCAGACCTAACTGTCAAATATGAAATTGTAGACATTTCTACATAATTCGTATGTAGGAATTGTATCATCTGCGAAATAGGTGAAAACTAATAAAAATAATAACAGTTGGAAACCGCTGTACTGCAGCCAAAACTGCGCTCACGATCTGGGGTTCAATCCCAGGTAGCCGGCTAAAATGAGTACCCAGCTTACTGGGGGGGGGGGCAATGTGTAGCCTGCATAACTAACTTGTAAACCGCCTAGTGAGTGCTTGAAGCACTATGGGGTGGTATATAAGCAGCACGCTTTGCTTTGCTTTGCTTTTTTTCCCCTGCAGTCCTCAGAGCTGCCTCAAAAATCAACTCTAGAGATCTTCCTGGCCTTTTGGAGCAGGGTTGGGGTGCAAGGTGGTGTGCTGTTGAAAGGAGACTTCCCCTTTTACTGACTTCCAGTGTTCTGTTGGGGGAAAATCTAGCAATTAGATCCTGTCCATTAATCCCATTTTGGAAAATACAAAATTCTTCATCTCCATTTAGGCTGGATTTACTGACCTAGAAACTCTTAAGTGAAAAACGTTTTGATTGATAATGGCGGCAACATATGCCATGGAAGGATGATAATGTTGGTTGCAGCAATGATTTTCTTTTTTCAAATTAAACATTTCTCATTTCTTTTCCAAAGATTCCAAGGCAGTGGTAGCTTGTCCACAGTTTGAGAAATGTTTCTGTAAACCAATTGGAACTACTAAATAAAACCAGATTTGTTATCTCTCCTTGCTAAACATGCAGCTGAAGTACAGACAGAAAAGCCACAGGTCCTGATTTGCTCCTGCGTCTTCTTGTACTGTGAATTCTGACACAACAATAAATTAATGTGAGAATAATGTGTTTTGTATCACGGGCCCAGAGTTAGCAACATTCTGTTTTTTTAGGTGATTAACATTCTAAACACATTTGAGAACACTAAACTCTGGTGAGAATATTAAGCCTTTTGCTCTTCACAAGGAAGTTGGTAGCCCCTTTTGTTAATAAGATGTAGAGATGCAGAGCATAAAAGCCCAAAAGCAGCACTAAGGTTTAGGAGCTTAGAGACAAAAAAAGTAGGAGTGAGATTGCTACTAACTTCTTTTTAGGAAGACAGACCATATGTTGGAGCAAGTTAAACTGTTGAAATGCAACACTTGTTCTTTGTTTTCAGCACTTTTCTCTTTCCTTGTGTCAGTGTTGGGTCAGATTTCACAAGCCCTGACAGTGCTATTCTCAGCTGTTTTGCAGGCTGAGTTCTAAGCACCTTTATTTTCAAGGCATTTCTTCTTCCTTGAAGTCAGTTTCATATTTTATCACTCAGGCAGAAGCCCTCTTCAGCTGTTTCCAATGTTAAATTGGAAGTATATAAGCTATAGCACATATTTCTTCTCCTATGTCTCTGTATAGTTTATAAACTGTTGCTAGGCATGTACAACATGATACCTTATCACTACCATAGGCTAAAATGGCTCCTGAAATGGAATGTTTATTTACAGTGGTACCTCTCAAGACAACCACCCCGCTGAACAACGAATCCGCATTACAATGACTTTTTGCGATTGCTATAGCGATTCGCAAAACAGTCATTCCTATGGGGGATTTTCGCTGGACGTCGATTAGGTCCATGCTTTGCAAACCATTTGTTCGCAAGACAATGATTTTTCCGGCTCCACAAAATGGCTGCCCTCTGTTTTCCGGACCCATGCTTCGCATGGCAGCCATTTTACAGCTGATCGGCGCTCGCAAAATGGCTTCCCTATGGGCGATCTTCGCTAAACGATGAAGTATTTTCCCCACTGGAACGCATTAAACGGGTTTCAATGCATTCCAATGGGGAAACTGATTCCGCATGACGACGATTTCACTAAACAGCGATTTTCCCAGAACAGATTATTATCGTCATGTGGGGCACCACTGTACTTCATTTATACCATGCCTTTCTCTCAATGAAAGGACTCAAGGTGATGTACAGCAGCTAAAATGTATACATATATTCAAAATCACAATAAATTAGAGTATTACTATTAAAATACAGTGGTGCCCCGCATAACGAGCGATTCGTTTAATGATGAATCCGCATAACGATTCAGCTTTTGCGATCACATAACGATGTTTTAAATGGGAAAACATCGCTTTGTGATGATTGGTAAGCGTTTTGCTTACCGATTATCACATAACAATGTTTTAAAAACAGCTGATCGGCGGTTCCAAAATGGCCGCCAAGTAAAGAAAATGGCCGCCCGCTGTGTTTTTGCGCCCTTTCCTCGCTTACTGGACAGCGAAAATGGTGGCCGCATGGAGGATTTCCGCATAATGGTGATTTTTTTGCCCATAGGAACGCATTACACGTGTTTTAATGCATTCCTATGGGCTTTTTTGCCCTGCATAGCAACAAATCCGTATAGCGACGATTTTTTCAGAACGGATTATCGTCACTATGCGGGGCACCACTGTACAATTGAAGCTGTAACAATATTGAAAACATCTCAAGTCCAAAGCAAATTAAATTGAAAACAGATGATAAAAATATAATATGCTACATCCCCCTCCGCCACTAAAAATGTCAGTACTACCAGGATGTTCACAGATCAAAAGCAAATTTAAACAGGTGGATTTTTACCTGCTGGCAGAAGGCTAGAAATGTAGAGGGCCAACCTAGCCTTCTGAGGGAGGGGATTCCATAGACTGAGAGCAGTCACAGGAAAAGCACTCAAGAGTACTCACCAAACATGCCAGGGATTGTGATGAGACTAAGAAAAAGTGTCCTCCCAATCTCATAGATGTGGGAGGGGAGTATATTGGGACATGGTCCTTTGGATAGCCTGCACCCAAGATATATGGAGCTTTATAGGTATGGGGCTTTTTAAGTCAGTACATTGAACTGGACCTAGAGATGAACTGGTAACCTGTGAAGTTGTAACAAAGGAGTTATGATCCCTGTAACTGGCTCAGTCACAAGACTGGCTGCAGCATTTTGAACCAGCTGAAGTTTCCAAGTTGCATCCCCATATACAGCATGTTACAGTAATAAAACAAAACAGTATATAACTAAGGCATGTGCCACTTTAGCAAGTCAGGCATTTGAAGGAAGAGACCCAGCAGCTTTAATGGTGCAAATACTCTCCTAGTTACTGCTTAGGCCTGGGTATCCAGACTCAGCAGTCAATCCAGGAGTACATTCAAGGTACAAACCTGAGTTTTCAGGAGGACCATAACCCCATGTAGCATGGGAAGGATCCCTCTTATCTGATCTGAGTTAAAACTGACCAGGAGCCCCTCTGTCTTGCCAGGATTATGCTTCAATTTGCTATCATCCAGTCCATCACAGATGTCAAGCACTGATTGAGAGCCAAGAAAAGCTTCATTTGAATTAGATGGAGAGAGAGAGGTGGATGTCCTTAGCATACTGGTGACACTAAACCTTAAAACTACAGACAGCCTCTTCCTTCAGTTTCATCTAGATGTTAAATAGCATGGGGGACAGACCAGAACACTGAGAAATGCCAATGGCCAAGGTGTCTGACAGGAGTCTCCCAACACCAGAAAGGACTAGAACCATTGCAAAACAGTGCCTCTAGAACCAGTCCCAGAGAGATGGTTCAAAAATAGAGATTGGCGTGAACTTAAAAATGAACCAGAAAGTTTGGGTTAAAATTCCTGGTTCATTGGTTCAGGTCAGTTCAGATTCATCAAAACTGATGAACCCAACCCCAACTGAACTTGTTTTTGATTTCATGAACTTCCTGGTTCATTCCCCCTGCCTCCACAGCCTGCCATCCACCCGCTTCCTACTGCTCCTGTCGCCCCCCCCACCTGATCCTGTTGCTTCCTCTTCTTCTGCCACTGTCTTGAGAGACATCAACTCAGCTTTCCTTCCAGGAGCCGGGCCAGCTGACTCTGTGCATGTGCCCACTGATCAGCTGATAGGTGGTTGCATGTGGAGAAACAGCCGGCCCGACACCTGGGAGGAAAGCCGGGTTGATGTATCTCAGGATAGTGGTGGCAGCAGAGGAGAAAGAGGAGGAGATGGCAGGACCAGGTAGGAAGGCAACAGGGGTGCGGGGTAAGGAGGTTAGTTTCCCCTCCCTCCAGGCACGAACCTTTCTTCCAAAAAAGAACCAGTGCCTGGGGAACCACAAACGATAATTTTTTTGGTCTGTACCTGTTTCTGTTCAGAGGATTCCTTAGTTGATGATATCGAAAATCACTGTAAGGTTCAGCAGAACCAACAGGGACATGCTCACCCTTGTCCACTTCCCGGTGTTGAGCATCCAAGAAACTGACTGTATCGTTCTCTATTTATTAGGTCTATGGTTCAGGTTGTATTATGTAATGGTTCATGTTTGTTATGTAATGAATGGTTTATGCATATTAATGTTGGGAGGCGGAGCCAAGGGAGATGCTATAAGAGGCGGAGCCTGAGTCAGTCTAGAGGAGAGTAAGAAACATGTAAAAGTCAGGCAGGAGAAAAAAGTCGGACACAGTAATAGAGTGTTTAGTTTGGGAAATTCTGAGGTGTGATTAGCTACTGAAGATATTTATGAATCAATCTCTGTAATCAATAAACCAAAGTTTTATTTAAAAGAACTTGAAGTGTGGACCTGAATCTTTCTGAAGTAATGGTGATATAGAGATCGCCTGGTGGCAGCAGTGAAAGGAGAGAATTGTTTGCCTTCGTGTGCTCTGGGGCTTAACGGTCAAGCAAGGGGCACGAGGGGAACGTCACACTGACCAAAGCTGCCTTTGTCCCCTAACCAAATCTGAAACTAGACTAAAATAATTTCTTTGATCCAGCAGTTCCTGGAACTGAGAGGGCACCAAATATTCTAGCACCTTGCCCAGAAATGGAACATTGGAGATGGCTGATAGTAGTCCAGTTTCATGAGGTCCAGGGAGGATTTTGTCAAAGGTCTTACAAATGCCTCTTTTAGGCAGAATGTTGTGCCTTGAGACAGAGAGATGTTTAGCACCCCCTTACCTACTCAACCAGTTCTCCCTTGGTTGGTTTAAGATCTTAGAAGGGCAGGGATCCAGCACACATATGGTTGGTCTCATCTCTTCAGTGACTTTATTCTCATCCTCAAGTGTGACAAATTGGAACAAATCTATTAATATAGAGCAAACAAAGTGACATCCACAGGATCTGTGTCAACCATAGCAGATAAGTCAGAGTGGATCCAGGTGATTTTGTCTGCAAAGTATCGCGCTAATTCTTCACAGTGGGCTGTCAAGTAGTCCATGATCCCTGCTAGTGGTGCAACACATATGTCCATGACTACTTGAAACAATTCTGCTCGATGATACTGCACAGATGCAACGGTGGCAGAGAAGGCTTTCTTTGCTGTTACCACTGCCATGGAATTACCCTTCTGTTGAAGAATCTCTTGCCCATGTTCAGTCAGATTTACTCTGAGTTTTAACAACTACTAACACGTTTCATTGCTATCAGAGCAAATTGTGCAATAGGTGTTTTCCTTAAGCTAGTGACAAATAATTTCTGGAAAGATAGAGTACAAGTAGAAAGGCCAAAAAGGTGTACCACAGCATACAGAAATTGTAGAAATATAACCACTAAAATACCTGTAAAACTGCTGAAATCTTTTTGTACTTCAAAATCAGTGTGGCCCATCCTCAAATGAGTGTCAAATCTGTCCCTTGACTGAAATCTTTTAATGGAGTTCACCTAAGGTTTGTTTTTACTGCTAACTGTGGCTAATTGATAAGTTGCTGGAGCACATCTCACTTGTTCAGTTGTATGTGCGACACGTGACAGATGTGCTTTGACACATTGTCAAGTAGCTGAAATTAGTACAGCAGCTCACGCCAACTGTACATGAACACCAGCAGGATTCTGGTTGTTGATTTTTTTTTCATATATAACATAAATGCTGTTGTGCTCCTTTCTATTGCTGCTTGTAATGGTGGAATGTAATTCATCCATATTACCTTTTTACTGTAATTTACTATACAGTATTTCATTTACAGTGGTGCCTCGCATAGCGAGGTTAATCCGTTCCGGATTAACCTTCGCTATGCTGAAGCATCGCTGAACGGGGCAGGGATTTCCATTGGAACGCATTAAACATGGTTTAATGTGTTCCAAATGGGCCAAATACTCACCGTTCAGCGATGCTTCAGGATGGCCGGCAGCCATTTTCGCGTCCTCGCCTCGCTTAACGAGGGCGCGAAAATGCTGCGCGCGGCCATTTTGGGCCATTTCCAGGCTTCCGGTGGCCATTTTGGCCGCCGAACAGCTGATCGTAGGGGTTCGTTTTGCGAAGATCGGTAAGCGAAACGCTTACCGGTCTTCGCAAAGCGAATTTTCCCCTATTGGAAAAACGTTGAGCGATCGCATTAGCGATCCGAAAAAAGGATCGCTATGCAATTTCATCGTTATACGGTGCGCTCGTTAAGCGAGGCACCACTGTACTTTGTAATAGCCTGCCTGTTAATTACTTCTGAAGCATGCTATGTTGTTATACTGTTACTGTCCTGACTGAAGACACAAATCTGTACATATCCACATGCTTCTCCAGGGCCACTGCAGACTACAGCTTCCATCTGTCTCTATCCAATGAATATGAGTTATGGGAACTGTAGTCCAAGAGCATCTGAACAGTTTTGTTTAGGTTAGTAACGAAAAAGAGCATGGCCGGGATCACCCGATGCGGCGCGGCTGCCAGTAGCGGCGGACTCTGGAGGCCTTCCCCACCACCATGGGAGGCCTCTCGGAGGTCCTCCCCACCGCCGCGCCGA